AGTTGATTTCATGTAAGTAATCGAATTAACTGTCTTACAATAAAGTCGTCCCAGGAACTCAGCAATATCATTTCAAAGATGTCTACTTTAAATGTATGATATTATGTCTGAATTGTCAATATGAATGAGTCAGATAACATTAATTAGAAGAATTTTTTACCAAGTAACAGAAAACAAAATTTGTTTAATTTATTAATCTTTTGTATTTTGGGAACAATTTTCGAAATGAAAATTTCAACGTCAATAAACTTATTTTAAACTTAAATTGTGGCTTATGTCCAATTAAAATGGTAATTTTTTAATAATAAACTTAAAATAACCTATTTATTTTTACATTCTACAATACACTTTTAAGTATAAATGAAAACGTAACTGAAATAAAACCTTGTATTCAAAATAAAATCGTATTCTTAACAAAAAACTAAAAATAAAATCATGAGGAAGGTATCTTCTTCTTTTAGTGCCATATGTTTCATTAATGTTGGCAATTACATTGGCAAATTATTCACAGTCTCCAACTAATGGAAATAGTTGTTCGGCATTGCGTATTCCATCAAAGCGCGAATATTATGGATCCATAACATCTGACTTTCAATTCCTTTCCGACACTTTATTTTACCTTTCATGTTAAACTGAAGGATACTGTACCTGTCTTCTCGAATAACATGCCCTAGGCATGAAATATTTCTTATTATAATAATTATTGATTTTCATCACTGTCCATCCAAGTTATTCAAGGCATTCTTCTATGCAATCATATCTCAAACGCCTCTAGGCGATTGGTTGTATCAGCCTTTAAAGTTCAGGTATTGGTGCTGTGTAATAATATTGACCAAACATTGCATTTGATCATTGTCTTATGTAATTTTAGATGTAAGCTGTGGTCACAGACGAATGATTTCATTTTTTGAAACGTGCAAGCTTCAATTCTGCATTTGATCTGCAATATAACAAAACTCTCTCAATATTTTGTTGATTTACCTATAGGGAAGCATTGACGTGAGACGGGAGGTTGTTGATGGAAATCATAAATTTTGTCTTAGAAACCCTAGTTTTTAAACACATGTCTCGGCCTGCTGTGTTTACGCAATGCAACAACTTTTAAATACCCTAGAGACTATCACATTAGATAATAGTATCGTTAACGTATCTAAGATTATTAATCAGTTAGAAACCACTGGTTTCCACTCCCAAAGTATTTATCTTGCAAAGCCTATTTCAAAATTATATCCATCGATCTCTACTATCAATGCCGTTGGTTCTTAATATGTTCAAAGGTGTTTCGGGCTTTACCCTATCGAAAACCTTTTCGTAATTGATAAAAGCCACACAAATATCTTTACGTTGGTCGCGGCATTTTTGGAGAAGTACATTTAAGACAAAGGGTAACTCATGGGTACCCACCACATTCCTTAATCCAAGCTAGGTTTCATCTAGGTCTCTTTTAGTACTTCTAGTATTTAACCAGTAGTACATTCATCAATAAAAAGTTTAACTAGAACACTGATGTGGTCCTCTTTTATTATTTTTACAAGTTCAGCTGAGATGTTGTCTGATCCAGTTTCCAGCTTTCTTGATTTTTCCTGAATAAATTTTAAAACTGCAGGTCCTTCTTGATTGATGTTGTTCTGTATATTTGGCCTGTCATCTTAAAACAATTCAGTTATACATTCTCAACAATAATTCTCGTTCATTAATGATAACTTTACCTGCATTATCTACTAGAGTATTAGTGTTTTTCTTATTATAAACAGCAGCAACTTCACAAACTTTCTTTTTTTTTGTTGCTTCTTTTTTAATTCTTTCATTTCTAAACCTCTATCCCCATCCACTTTTCTTTAGCCGCTCGTATTTTTTTATTTATTTTTCTTTGTTCTCTTTTGTGTTCGTCAGCCTTATTCTTCTTCTTTTTCTTTTTATAAGCAAAATGCTTGTTCAATGCCGATTAATGCCTCTATTGGAGGTTATCACTCCATCTTTTGCGTGGTCGCCCGATACTTCTTCTACCTCTTGGTGATTTGTCCCTCGCTATTCTGACTAATCGGGTCTCTTCCATTCTGTTTATGTGTTCGTTCCATTCCTTTTTTCTGTTCAGTGTCCACTCATTTATTTCTGGTATATTGCATTTTCTTCTGATCTCTTCACTCCTCATTCGATCCCTCAGTGTGTTTCCTGTAATTCTCCTCAGTAAACGCATCTCCGCTGTTTCTAGTAGTTGCTGAGTTTTGGAGGTATCCGGTCTTGTCTCTGAAGTGTATGTCATTATTGGTCTTATTGTTGCTTTGTAGATTCTTGATTTCACGTCGGTGTTAATGTGAGGATTGCGCCATATCGTGTTATTAAGACAACCTGCTATTTTATTAGCCTTTTGTACTTGATTTTTCACTTCCTTCTCCACATCTCCGTAGCTACACAGTGTAATTCCTAGGTAATTTGTCTCCATTACTTGCTCAATGCTGATACCGTCGATTTCCAGTTTACATCTAATTGGTTCTTTACTGATTACAATTGTTTTAGTTTTCTGTGTAGAGATCGCCATATTAAGGTCCTTTGCCCTGATCGTAATTAGGGCCGCATCATCTGCATAGCAGAGTATTCTGATTTCTTTGTTCCCCATTTTGTATCCTCTTCCTTTATTATTAGTATTAATGATTTCATCCACGATTAGATTGAATAGCGTTGGACTAAGCGAGTCTCCTTGTCTTATTCCATTGCCCATATCTATTGGATCTGTAAGCTGGTCATCTATTCTGACTTCCATATTGTTGTTCTGGTAAATGTTCTCTATTGTTTTTATAACATCTAGTGGAATTTCTCTATCGTAAAGAAGGTGAATTACATCTTTAAGCTTTACTTTATCGAACGCTTTCTTCAGGTCTATTAGACATATGAATGCTGGTCTGTTATACTCTAGTGTTTTCTCGGTAATCTGTTTTATGATGAATACTGCATCTGTACACGATCTTCCTGTGCGAAAACCCTGCTGTTCATCCGCTAAGGTAATTCTCTGATTTATTTGGCCTTGCAATATTTTGGTTGTAAGCTTCAAAGTGGTGTTTAATAAGTTGATACCTCTGTTGTTTTCAGGTTGTTTTTTATCTCCTTTTTTGTATAGTAGGATAAGCTCGCTTTTCTTTCATTTTTCAGGTATTTTATTATGTTTGATGATTTTGTTAATTAGTGCTGTTAGCTGTTCTGTTAATGCTTCTCCACCATATTTCAATAATTCATTTGGAATTCCATCTTAACCTGCAGCTTTTCTGTTCTTCAGTTTTTCTAAAGTTTGTTTTACTTCTTGTACGGTTATCTCGACTTCCTCGTTTGTAATGATTTCTGGTGTTTCTGGTTCTAACATCATTTGCTGTTCATCATTATAAAGCTTCTTTAGGTATTCAATCCATGTGTCGTTATCTATGTGTTTCGGCTCGATTAAGTCTTTCATCTCTGATGTTTGGCCTCTTATGAAACGCCATATTTCCTTTTGTAGACCGTAAAAGTCGTGTTCCATTTCTTTTGAGAAGCGTTCCCAGTGTTCGTTTTTAATTTTTCTTACTAGTGCTATTGTTTCGTTTCTTATCTTTTTGTAATTGTTGTATTCTTGTGGTGTTTTGTTAGACATGTATCTTAAGTAAGCTTTCTTTTTTTCTTTGCATTTTTCTTTCACTTCTGCGCAGAACCACGGAGTTTTCCGCTTTTGGAAATATTTATTTTTAAGAATTTTCCTTTCTCCTACAGCTTCTTTTGCTGAATCTAGGATGCTTGCTTTAATTTTCGCCCAGCTTTCTTCGATTCTATCACTTTCTTATTCTTTTTAGTGCCTTTTTTGTTCCATAAGATCTAGGATTTCTCCCATCATCCATTGAATCTATTAGTTACACTATGTTCTTTTATTATCTTGATCATATATTCACGAAATATTTTCCACGTTTTCTCAACATTTTCGGTTATCATTTTTTTTTTTTTCATGTAATTGATTAGATCATTTTTCTATTTTACTTTGTTGACATCTGAAATAGTAAAAATCTTTTTCTGATGCTGATATTTTTCTCTATTCGTTTTAGTATGACTCTTGTAAGACTTTTGGCGACTAAAGGAAGTGATCAGATCTAATATCTGCTCCAGGATATGTCGTAAATCTACTGATGGAGTTCCTAAATCTTTTGAAAGAGGGTATGTAAACAAGAACTCAATTGGAGTTACTGCTCCCCTGTCTATGGGTATATCAGTCACTCAGATTGTTTCATTCCTGTTATCCGAAAAGCAGACGAAGAAGGTTCCGGAATTATTAAATTACTTGCATAAAAATATTTGTCGAGCCAATCGGCATTCTCAGTAGACGTTTCACACAATTTAGAGAAGCTCCTTGGCCCTTTTGCCAGCAAGTCGCTATTGTGGGATATGAAATAGATTCTAATGGTTGCATATAGTCTGTGCTAGAGGTTGCATTCTAGTGAGGGACAAAAGAAATTCTAAGCGGTTAATACTAGATAGTTTCAACACCATATAAGACAATTAAGCGACTAAATACCATATATTTTGTTTTAGAACAATTAATGTTTAATCATATCTCTTGTGTCATCGTATTAGTCGACTTTGAAAGACATTGCAATCTATTTAAGTGATCACTCAATATAACTGGGTCATCTGCGTATCTAATGATATTTATTAGTAATATAATGGTAAACAATTAAATTATTTATAACAATTTTTTGGACCACTCACATCAAAATCCTCCCTCGAAATTCGTAATCAACAGCCAAAAATACATAAAAAAACTTGGATGGGCCCCTGAAAAGGCCACGGTGATCTAACTGGTCCCTAGACTATACTACGTACCTACTTATTTTTTGATAAGTTAAATAAAAATAAAAAACATTAAATTATTAAAAAACAATAGTTATTACTGAATTAATAAAATAATATAATTTAATCATCAAGTATACTAATATTTAAACATCAACTTCGAAGCCACTCCAGCCTATATTATCATCATTATTAACTTCTAGCTCCTGCTGATCCTCTGCAAACACTCGCCTCTTTTTAAGGACTGAAGACGGCTCAGGCAACACTAAAACAAAATTAAATTATAAGATACAATACAAATAAAAATATCGAATCGAGTGTCATTAAAAAAACTCTTCGATTTCCATGTGCATCAAATTTATAAAACTCATTAAAATATAAAAAACGCCATTATTAAAGGCATCCATTAGTTAAAAATCATACCTGTAAAATATTAGAAAATGTGGAGGTTCTGTTCAGTATTGTATTGGTATTTTTGCACATTTAGTTTTAGTTATAGGTATAGGTAAAACCAATAATTCAAACAACAAAAAGTATTGAAGTAATAATCAGTATTTCCTTCTTATTTCCCAAACAAATCATTGTATCTCTACATTCCAACAATGATGCCTGCCATCTCGTAAAGTCGTGCAGATCCTTGACTGTGCGAGAGGTGGAAGCTTTAAACTGAGTGGGACGCAGGACACACTGGGTATGGAAGTTCTGATCCCCGACACGACGCGTCCCAATGGCTAATGGGAAACATAAATATATGTGACAATAGGGTAGATGTGAATAAGTTATAAACAACCTGAGAATAATTTGAAAATATGACAGAGTGGCTGCAGCTATATCAATAATTGTAAATGTTTGATTGAATATGACATACACTCGCACAAATACAAACTACATATACTTACATACACACCGAACACCATCACAAGATGCATATTATAGAAAAGTTTTACCTACGCGGTCCCTTGGTACGGTACCTATGTGCATATTATCATTCCTGATAGCACGTCGTAACAACTAAAGGGAAAAATCGTAAAGGGAAGAATCGATACAGAGACAAAAATGAGATGAGTTAATCTTCTAAGTCTACGAAAGGAACGAGAGACGATCCCAGACTTTATATTTGCCCCAAATAAAGTCTTAGAATTTGCTGGCTCATTGACACTTAGCCAACAGACAGATCTCAACAGACTAATCCGACAGACAGATATCTGTCTGTCGGATATACATTTTTCAGCCTTTTTGTGATGTGCGACCTGGAGTTTATCTATAATATAAAAATGAATCGCAAAATGTGTTGTTAAGCGCATTGTCACAGCCATTTGATAATTATTTTGTTTGTATACCGCTTTGAATGCTGAAGTTACAAAATCTCTTATTAAAATTCGAAGAAAGCTTTAGCTATAAAACCTTTTTAAATCATAACAATCTTTCCACTTGTCGGCAATAATTTTTATATTTTATCGCCATCACAATTTATTTTGTTTATTTTAACGCGTAAGTGGTGTAATAAAAATTGATGAGGTTCTTACAGTTCACTAAGACTCTGAGCGCTGAACGGTCGTTGTATCCGTGGCGTAATATTTTTTAATTTTGTGTATGTATAGATTGATGCTTATAAGTGATAATTTTGTTACATCATTTTTTAAAAGCACGCGATATGTTTTGTTGGGAACTGGCAAATATAGATTTTCAATAATTTTGAAGTTTAATTTTGTAATATACGAACCGTGTATTTTATACGCAAATTCGGGTAGAATTGCGTTGGTACACACTTGACACGCATAACTCAACAACGCATGGATCAATCTTAACAATTCTTTTTTTAAAATGTTCCTTGAATTCTAAGGATGGGGAAGGGAAAAAAACACAGACATGTAATATTAGCATAATTACTGTAACTTATATCATCTATATTTGTTTATCTTTATTAGACAACACCCTAATATGGGTTTATTATTTCAGCATTCATTTAACTTTGTATCGAGACCTGAAGATGCTTTGCATATTGTAGAAAGCGAAACCGGTCGTCTGGATAGTTAAATTAAATTGATTGTGAGTAAGCCTTATTTATTATTTCTTTTACCTATTTGAAATGGACTCACACAAGCAACACATTCATAAAATTTATTGACGTTTGAATTTTTGATCTTTGATCTTGCACTGATAACTTGTTTATACTCCAACAATTAATAGAAAAAAGAATAGTGGTTCGGTTTTACCGAAGTACATCTAGCCTCCATCGACCTAGAAAAAGCGTACGATACAGTTCCAAGACTTAAATTGTGGCAAGCTTTAGAACAACTCAACATTAATCCATACCTTTTAGGAAAAATAACAGAAGTGTACAGGGATAACACTATTTATCTAAAAATCAGACTATCACGAAATCAGGAAGTAGACTATCAGAGCTAATAATAGTAACTAAAGGACTAAAACAAGGATGCAGCATGTCACCCATACTGTTTAATTTATATATTGAGGCGGCTCTTAAAAATTTGAAAAACCACTGCCGGGGATTGGGAATCCCCATAGGAAATGACGTACTGTTCTCCCTGAACTTTGCGGATGACCGAGTCGTCCTAGCTCAAGATTCTAGAATTTATGATAAAGCGTCTTTACAGAGAATATTTAAAATTGGGTTACAAGTTAGCATGAAGAAAACAGAATATTTATTTATCAATTCAGATACAAGTTTTCAAGTATTAATAGACGAGGACGTGGAAATGAAATAAGTGGAAAAATTTAAAGATTTAGGTGCACTTATTGCTAAGAACGGCTTGAAAAAAACCGAGATTAAACACCGAATTAATCAGGGACGTAAAATTATAAAATGTCTTAACTACTTATGGTGGGATCGCAACATTTCCAAAAGAAACAAAAAAAGAATAGGGCAAACCATGGTTGAATCAGTTCTTTGTTATGGCCCTTAAGTATGGACCATTAATGCAGACCTGAAGAGAAGATTGTTGGCAGTTGAAATGGATTATTTGAGAGAATAAGTGCTAGAACAACAAGGCAGGAAAGGAAGACAAACAAATCTATACGAAATATCATGAATGCTACAGAAATGGTCATTGAAATAAGAGAAAAAAGAGGTTCAAAATGGTTTGGACGCCTATTGAGAATACCTGACGAACGGTCCCAAAAACTTTACAAATGGAAGCCCCCTGGAAGAAGAAAAAGAGGTAGACTTCGACGTTCATCGAATGAACGAATTAGATTGGCGGAGGAGAAAGGGAAAACGGCAATAGCCGTCTCCAAAATGTACTGTATTTACAAGTTGGATTAATGTCAAACGTCAAAAACTTATTTTAAACTTCAATTGTAGCTTATTCCCATTAAAGTAGTAATTACTTTAAAATTCTACAAGAAAATAGCTTCAGAACAATAGATAAGATCTAGATAAGAGAAGAGAGTGTTCCAAAAATGTCGTCAGCTTTACAGCGGCCACCCCACTTTCGGAGTACGATACGTGCGACAGTCAACTACGCACAAGCATTGATTATAAACCACTACCTAGATACCTCACTCTAAGGTAAAAACGAATTCAGTGTTAAACTCAGCCCACTTACACCTCTTTGCCCCTCACGCCTAAGTACTACCTGACTGTATGGTGGCGACATTCATTGAAATCTTTGCCAATATTGAAAAATAAATTTCAGTTCCCTGGTCCGGCAATTCTCTAGTGCATTAAAGGACAATATAAGGATGGCATTCTGCATTTTCACAAGTAATTTTAAGGTATTTGTAATCTATATTATGAAATTAAGATTTTACTTCAGAAAAAACGCTAAAAATTGATTAATGAAAAGAGTAAAGGTTTTCTAAAAATTATTGATTTATCAACACAATACAAAAAAAATAACAAAATATAAAATACATAATAAAATTAGCAGTGATAAATTACATCTCATGTAAATTACTTTTTTGTAACTTTTCAAACAAATTAATTTCCAGAATTTATGCAAACTAAAAGATTTCAAGCTAATATACAGAATTTATTTCCAGATTTAGCCCATTCACTCACGGTAAAATATTGCAAAACATCATCTCTCTTATTAATAAACACGGACTAACCTTGGACTAACATTAGTCCCAGGACTACACCAATAACATTCATTTTTCGTATTAATAAACAGCGACTAAGGACAGACTAAGCTAAACCTTGGCTAGTCTCGGACTAACATTTAATCCGAGGTAGTGGCAGGTTTAGAGATTGACTAACTTGACAATTGACATTGAGTTGAGTTTCGTTTTGGTATTCATAACCTGAATTGTTTTTGATTATTTATACATTATTTAATAATAAAAGATTATTTTATCAACGACTTAAGATTAATAGAACAACTTAATGACCATAGAAATCAGTGAAATAATATTCATCTAAGACATATTAAAATACGTAAAATTTATTTCATAAAATATTTTACAATTCATTATGTTTATTAGTATTTTTTATATTTTTCCTTTGTAATAAAATATTATTTTTTAAAGTTTCCTCCTAAACTTTTATGAAGTTTTAACTTTTCAGATAAAAAATACTATAAAATATAAACAAACTTTCTCAGAACACAGTCCAACTAAAATTAATTCTACGTGCTCCAACTTATGCTAACTGTCAAATTCTCAAATATTTTTCTTCTTTTTCACAAAATTCTCTCCATTTTTTTTCTTTTTCGCAATGGTTGTCAACATAAACTTGTTGTACCTAGGACTAAGGAAGGTTTAGTTAGTCTGAGCTTAGTCCATGTTTATTAATAACATTCTGAAAATGAAGTTAGTACTCGCTTAATCTAGGACTAACTAGTCCGAAACTAACTTCGGACTAACCAATTTTTATTAATAAGACTGCATAAGTTTAAAGAATCGCTTGGATTGACATGAAATTTGGCTTACGCCTAGCTAAGATGTCAAAGGAAAAAAGATTATGCTTTTGCCCTATAGATCAGTATCACCCCTTATCGGGAGTGAAAAAATATGTGTTCAAGATAAGTTCGGAAGTGCCTAAATCAGTAATTCTAGGCAACTTTGGTTTTATAGAGGTTTTTCACTATGTCAATACTTTTCGAGTTATTGAAAAATATGTTCTTATTCGTCAAATTCCATGTTGAATATTTCAACGTGAAATAATAAAAAACTTAAGCACTTTTCGACGAAAACTCATTACTACTTTTTTAAAGTGTTTTAAAAAGGTTTATTTTTGTTAAGTTTTTTACATCAAGAGTATGCAAGTTATGACCAAAATATTCAGAAAAGCAAAACCTACAT